ATTCCGAACAAGCTGCTCAGCCGCTTCGCTATGTTTCGAGAAGAGATTTTTATGCTGCACGATTCCTTCAGGCAATACGCGACAAGGTATAGGGTCCTTTGGTCGCGAATTCTTCTAGCATATTTGGGCTAGCCAATTTTAGGAAAAATCCCCCGCGGCTTATACATCTGAAAATATGGTAGTTTTTACTGCATCGTGATTTTATTCCAATTTATGGCCTTTGGAATTTCGCGTATATTCATTGTCTTTAGCAATGTAAAATTATTGCTTATATCGCTTGCTGATGGGGATATTAAGGTGTGCAAATCACTGGCACATGCAAGCACCAAAAGGTCCCAACGACAGACACCGGCCATCGCTCCTTTCCCTCTCTTGTTGAACTTCTGAGCATTTATGAATATATCACGACTTCAATCTGGTAAACCAACACTCTAGTAAAGCAATTTCTCCGAAAAAAAAGATAAATTCATAACCCGATATATAACACAAAAACAAGAGACATGCAAAAATGTAAGAACAATTCACACGTAATAGCGCTCACAGATGTGTAGATTCACCAATGCTTTGGACGACTATGTAAGAATTTTCTAGATATAAAGATAACAAAGCAACATCAACAAGAACAAAACTTGGCGGATTAACCTCAAAGAATCACGGGTTGATAATATGAAATTCTGAAGAAAAATGACAGGAGAAAAAGCCTCTGGAAATCGATCCAGATATTCAAAAACTCTGGAAAAAGTATATACATGTCCTAGATGTCAAGCAAAGAGTCATGGTTGAATTTCATGAGATATGGACGCCTGTTCTGGTGGTCCTCTGCTTATGATCTTTCCATTCGCCATCTCAATCACAGTGTCAAAATCTGAGAGGCCATGCATTACGTGCGTGATGCAGATTACGGTAGCTCTGGGTAGGTAAGACGATATAAGCGACATCATTCGTTGATGTACATTAGCATCGAGATGGGACGTAGCTTCATCGATCAGAACCACCTAAGAGATGTTTCACTTGTGAATGCAGTAATGGGATAAAGATTATTGCATCCCTGCTACGAGAACTCACTTTGCATTGAGCCAGCAAAACTCGACATATCGAAATGATTTGCCGCTCTCCAAACGACAGATTTTTGCCGCTTTCTTCAATCTGCCCGTCTAAGCCACCAATCCTAGCCATCAGTGATTCTAGAAAATCAGAGTCAAAAAGGAGAAAAACAGCTCCATGATTGATATTGGACAGATATCAGTTGCTCACAGATGTTAGATGCTTATTCCTACAACATTCATTTCGGATCTTGCTCTCTTCTAAACGCATTCCTCGGGGTCAGGTCAGCTAGCTTTTACCGGGGAGGCTCGCTGACGCCCAAAAACAGGGT